GGTCCCAGCTACTTGGGAGGCTGAGGCAGGAGACTCGCTTGAGCCCAGGAGTTGGAGGTTGCTGTGAGCTGTGATGCTACGGCACTCTACCCAGGAGGACAGCTTAAGGCTCTGTCTCAAAAAAAAAAAAAAAAAAAAAAAGGTCAGAGTCATTCCTGACTCTAATTTAATACCCCACATCATTGTTGTCAGCAAATCCTGCCTGCCAGCCCTTTACTGTACATCTAGAATCCAGCTCCACTGGTTCCACACTGGGCCAGGCCACCATTGCCCCTTACTTGGATTGTCCCAGTACCCACTTAACTTTTCCCTTTTTGCTTCCCCCACCCCCAGTCTGTTCTCATTATAGCAATATAAGTGATGCTTTTAAAACATTGAATCAAATCTGTTCTTCCTCTGCTCAAAACCCTCCATTAGCTTTTCCATCTCAGATTAAAAACACCCTGTAGCTACCAGTTAACTTTTGGTCCTGATTTCTTAATCTTCTCTCCCTCCCACCCTCTCTCTACCCTGGTCACACTTGCTTTCTTGCTTTCCCTTGAACACAGTAGGGTCTTTAAACTCATTGTTTACTTAGGCTGAGATGGTGTTGGTCTCAACCACATGACTTGCTGCTTCACCTTTTCAAGAGTTTGCATAAAATTCACCTTCTCAATGAGCTCTTCTCCCATCATAATATTTAAAATTACCCCCTACATCTGCTCAGCAACACCTGTCCTCCTGCTTCACCTTAGTTTTCTCCAAAACACTTATAACCATTGGATGTGTAGACACACACATCTGTGTGTGTTTATGTGACTATCCCTGTCCTAGAGTAGGAAGAATCCAGGAGGATAGGGGATTTTGTTTGCTGCTGTAACCCTTAACACCCAGAAAAAAATGGTTGGCTCATTTTAAGTGATTGTAAATATATTGATTTAATGAATCACAATTCCAAAAGGTAAACTTAATTAAGAGGAGAAACAAAGTATTGCTTCTCAGCCTTTTGGCTAACATTAAGTGTGAAGAGGAGAAGCAAAAGAACCCCAAACCAGGTCTGTACATGGAAGGGTGTGTGATATGTTCTGTTGGATTATATATTTTAAAAAGTAAAAATAGATTTTTTTGAAGCAAAGTCCATTTGTCTCAATGATAAAGCAGTTTTTTAATTAAATCAAAAATTTCAAATTAGGGCTTGTAGAAACCACTTCAAAGCATACTCTTACAGGAATGTAACTAAAAAAGGAAATAAAGAAAAGTTGGGTTTGTGTAAGCATCATCTTAGCCGAAAGCCAGCACCCTGTGTGGAAAAATCAGTAAAATGATCAGTAAAAATGAAAAGGAGATTCAGAATCTTGTTTTTCTCCTGTGCCTCTTGTATTGGAAGAGAAATCAACTACTGCAATTTGATCTTTGTTCTTTGGGGGAAAAGTCAAAATGTCTTTTGTTTTCTCTATACAGTATAAACATTAATTAAAGCATCACTTGGTCTCATTTGATGAGCTGGCTTCTTAATATCATGGTAAACTTCTGAATCATGAGCAAATATGTTTAGCATGTATCCTTATTTTTATAAATCTCAGATTCTAATTATTTGCAAAATTAGTATTCCTCATAATAGGAATTATAAGGAATTCCAATGTAGTTTCCTGGCCTAACATTTCAGAAAATTTTGTAAGAGAAATTATACAAAATGGGATCAATAGGCATCATCTTTTTATTTTTGCTGCTATTTTGGTCAGCATTATTTCATAAAAGAAGGGACACTTTAACATTTAAAAATAGGAAAGAATTGGGGGGGATTGCCCTTGTTTCTGTCATTTACTATGAACTTCAGATTATGGTGCCACTGTCTACAGGCCAGAATTTGGGAATGGTTGATCTGTACTTTGATGATTCACATTTAACAAGAATAACATATTGAATATAAAAGAAATTTAGGATACTTAGAAAAGAATACATAATAGACATAATGACCCCAGGAGGCCTTGGGAAACATTATCTGTTACCAAAATAATAGATAAAAAAAAATTTAAAGGAAAATTAAAATAGTTTCAGATTAAGCATAGTTAATAAATCAACCTTGGTATTCTTTTAATATCTCCATATTTTTATTGCATAATAAGAACTAACCTTTACTGAGTTTTTATTACTTACCAGGCACTGTGCTGAGCACTTCTTACATGGATTATCTAATTTAATTCTAACAACCCCTTGAGGTAGAGAATATTACTATTGAAATTAATTTAGTTGAATACATTTTTTCCATGTAAGGTAATTAACATTATCACAGAATTATAAATCTTGGGTGACAGTGTAAGTGTTATGGCAGCATTTTAATACTGATCAAAATAAATGAGGATCAGGAGAATTTCATTTAATAAGAAAGCTTGTTGACCTTGGTTCTGCCACAGGTTGGGGCACTATTATGTTTGACCCCTTCTCCCACCCAGGCTTCCAACCTTTTTATTTTTTTCTAACTTTTAAAATTATGATTAAAATTCATTCACTAATCATTCATTTGTGAATTATAATATGGGCAAGACAGAATTTTAGATATTGAAGTATTTAAATATGTATTAGATGAGATTTCTATTTTCAAGTTTACTATAGGATAGAGAAGACATACTCCTGAAGAAAAGTTCACAATTTTAAGACAGATTATGTCAGATGAAACAAACTGCCAGAGGGCCACATCCAGGTGCTACCTGTTTTTGTTCTGCCCATGAGCTAAGGCTGGTTTGTATTTAAAAACGTGTAAAACAAAACAAAAAACCACAAAGAAGAATATGTGGCAATGACTATTTGGCATGTAATGCCTAAAATATGCACTCTCTGATCCTTTAGAGAAACAATTTGCCAGCCCCTTTTTTATAAAATAATCCCAGGTAGAATGGAGACTGTGTCTAAAGTGTGTTTGGTGGACTGGTATGGCCTGGGAGGATCTCATAGAGAAGCTACGAGTTTATATCGCAGCAGTAATTCAAATGAGTAGAGAAGGGAGCAGGATGCATGAAGATGGGTGAGGTGCAAAGGTGGGTGAGCTGCGGATTCTGTAGCTATTACAAAGATTATCTAAATGCTTGGTTGACCATTGTTGTTGGTTATGTTTCTTTGGGAAGGTTTTTGGTTTTGTTTGATTGTTGGATTTTTACTTTTTTCCCCCTTTGAATGTTTTGTACTTGTACTTTTCCTGTCTGTAAAATTATTGAAGTCCCATTATTTATGGCCTTCTATAAATATGATCTTAACCTGTCTGTCCTTTTTATACTGCTAGTGCACACAGTAACACAAAGAAGGAAATTGTATATGTATATTAAATACTGGTGCTAAAAAGAGAAGTGGTCTATCAAAAGGGCAGTAAGACAAGATGGAAAGATACTTTAAAGCAGGGGTTAGCAAAATATTTCTGTAAAGAGCCAAATAGTAAATATTTTTGAGTTTGGAGGACAACTGTTCAACTGTGCTGTTGTAACAGGAAAGTAACCACAGACATATGTAAATGAACATAGCTGTGCTCCAGTAAAACTTTATTTACGAGAATCAGATGGCTTAACACATTTGGCCCACAGACCAATGTTTGCCTGTCACTTCCATAGGGTATTTCTAGGTACTTAGAATGTCAGTATTATTGATTCTCTTTTTAAATTTACTTTTTAAAAACTATTGAAAAATCAATGTACATAGTAAAAAAATGAACAGTACAAAAGAGTTTATAGTAAAAAATCATTGAGCTGTGAACTCTACTTCCCTAGTTTTCCTCTTTCTTACTCTGAGTACGTAAACACACACACATGTTCTTGGTTATAAAAATAGTAGCGTAAAGAACACATACTGTTCTGTATCTTCCTTTTTCATATGAATACATACATGGACAACCTACCTCATTAACACACATAGTGGTGTACTATGCACACTGTTTTGTAAGTTAATTCTTTCATTTGTCAGTGTCATAAAGACCTATGGCTCTGCCTCAAGGTTTTTTAATGGGTTCATGGTACTTGGGTCAGTTTGCACTTCATCCTCTTAGAAGTAAAGAAATTTGGCCTTCTTATCACTCGTTACCAAATTAAAGACAGAATTTTTCCTCAATATTAAGGCTAAATTTCTCTCATATCCTGTTTCAAGGTTTCTCTTTCATTCTTCTGATTTAATAATCATGGGAGCTGAGTAGGGAAAAGAAATAAAGAGGAATCCCCTGTAATGGGAAGTAGGAAGAAAGAACGTGAGTGTACATAATGTAGAGTTCCTTACAGTTCACCAATTTGTGATTTGCTCCCTGCGGCACTACCACAGCCCAGATTTGTAGCAGGCCTGTTATGTTGAAGAAAGTTGTTGACTTATGTTAAATCTATTGCTTTCAGCTGCCTGGACCTGGAGCAATGTTCTCTCAAGGTATTGGAGCCTGAAGGAAGCCCAAGCCTGTGTTTACTGAAGCTAATGGGTGAAAAAGGCTGTACGGTCACGGAACTGAGTGACTTCTTACAGGCTATGGAACACACTGAGGTTCTTCAGCTTCTCAGCCCCCCAGGTAGGTTTTTCTCTTAGGAATCTTCTCCAGGAGGTTAAGGAGTCAGACTTAAAATATCTCAGTTGATCAGGCAAAAAGTGTTGAATATTTTTGAAAGCTATATACGTATAAAGCCTTGTTTTCTTTCCCAGGCTGAGGCTAAAGACATAAAAAGCAAATAGAATATGTGAATACCAATTGGATTATGGTCCAGAAAGCTAACTATCAGAGGTATTTTTGAGACAGTTGGGAAAATTTGAATATAACCTACATCTTTGATATTAAGATATAATAGTAATGATATTGTAGTTCTGTAGATGAATGTCCTTTATTCCAAGGAGGTACGTGTTAAAATATTTAGGCTAAGATTTCTATAACATACATTGGAATAGTGTAGCCAAAAAGAGGAACATATTTATATATGTATGTCTATGGACGAGATAAAGCAAGTATGACAATGTTTATCACTTAAATTTTTTGTTGACATGATGGTGATGTTGATTAACTCAACCATGTGAGTTTTTCCTGAATATACCAATTTTGACTAAGGCTTCTCACTTCCCAGGCCAAATGAGAAATAGGAAACATTCCCTTGTCTCCATAACTTCAGTGGTGTTGGGAAGGATGGACTTGCCATCAGAGTTGCCTGATGGTAGCAGCACTGCAGGCCTCCTTTCCAAGAGGTCTGTTTGGCCAAAGAGGCTGGTCAGGCTTGGAAGGACCACAGACTAAGGACCAGATGCTCTCTATTTTATGTGGTTTGATGTTTGCCATTTCTATAGCCAGTATAGTTACAGTATATTTTTAAGTTAACATGAAGAATTTAAAACTATAATTTAGATCTTTTTAGTTTGTTAGTTCTGGGGCTGGGGAATTCCAGATACATGGTACTGTGGTGTGCTGTCAGTTATATGTACCAGAAACCCCAACTCAAATTGCCATAATAAAAGGAATATATTTCTTCTTCTAATTTACAAGTCTATAAGCAGGTTCGGCCTCAAGAGGCAGGGTGTCCTACTTCCAAGGAGTTGGGTGTGTTTATGTCCTTACGCTTCCTTTTTTGTTGATATTGGCTTCCTTCTAAAGACTTAACTCCCCAGGTAGTCCAAGATGTCTGCTAGCTCTTCCCGGGTTCATTCATCCTCCTCCCAGTAAAACCCGGAAGTTTCACTTTTGTTAACTAGTTTTGGTCACATGCCTGTCCCTAAACCTGTCACTGTGGCCAAGGAGATGGAATGTGCTGACTTGCCCGGAATAAAGTCAGGTGTGGAGTTGGGTTGAGTCACCTTTCCTGGAACCGCATGGATCACCAAGTAAAATCAGACCTGTCAGACCAGGTGCAATGGCTCACACCTGTGATCCTAGCAACTTGGGAGGCTAAGGTAGGAGATCACTTAAGGCCAGGAGTTTTAAGACTAGCCTGGGAAACGTAGTGAGATGACATTCTGTCTCTTAAAAAAGTTATTTTTATTTTTTTTATTAACTGGAGGTAGTGGCCTGTGCCAGTAGTCCCTATGCCGATAGCTACTGTGCAGACTAAGGTAGGAGAATCACTCCTGAGCTCAGGAGTTTGAGGCTGCAGTGAGCTATGATTATGCCACTGTACTCCAGCCTGGGTGACAGAGTGGGGTCCCATCTCTTAAAAATAAAAAAAAAAAAAATTAAACATTTAAAAATTGGACCTGTTGGAAGGAAAAAGGAAGCCATAGATACTAAGGAGGTAACCAAAAAAATCTACAAATGGAAAGGGCCTTGGATTATGGGCAAGAAATCTTGGATTCCCAAGTCATTCCCTGCTTTGCAGGCTTAATGTTGATGGCAAAATAGGCTTCTGTAAATGACCCTTGTGACACACATTGTATTAAATGCTTGACTTCCTTTCCTAGCGCCTTTCTCTACCACGAGGTACAAGGTAGGAATAAGTAGCTGCTGATGCAGCCCAACCCCCATGACTTAACTGCTGTCTGTCACTAAACAGTAAACTTTGTAAGGTAGTACTTATTAATGTTTATATCCCAGTGCCTCTCCTAGCACCCAGAAATTATGACAATTGAACTCCACTAGTCCAGGGCACTAAGTTAGCTACTTAGTTGTCATACTTTATAGAATATCAAGGCTCCTAAAAACTTAAGAAACCTCTCTGGAAAGTAAACATAACATTTATATCTTACTGTCTTTTTCAATATTTGCACTTAATTTCTCTGACTATGGGTTGCCAAGTCTATTAACAGAGTTGTAGAAGTAACATGAAATAATGTTGTGTTGAAGTGCCTCTAGATAGTGATGGGGAACTCATATCCATCATTATTTGTGGTGTGATCACTGGCCTGAAATCTAGGCGTTGGGATTTTTTTAAGTTTTCCTTATATGAAAATGTGTTTGACTAAAATTGAGCCATGTGTTTATATGTAACAGTCTGCCTAAAATTTTTAAATAGTTCAGTATTTTATATTTTTATTTTTGACAAGCCAGTAACTAATAAAGTGCTACCCTAATAAATATCAATAATCTTCCTTTGTTTTTTTTTGTTTGTTTGTTTGTTTGCTTTTTTGAGACAGCCTCAAGCTATTGCCCTGGGTAGAGTGCCGTGGCATTACAGCTCATAGCAACCTCCAACTCCTGGCTCAAGCAGTTCTCCTGCCTCCGCCTCCCAAGTTGCTAGGACTACAGATACCCACGACAACGAACGTCCAGCTATTTTTTGGTTACAACTGTCATTGTTGGTTGGTGGGCTGGGCTGGATTCAAACCTGCCAGCTCAGGTATATGTGCCTAGCGCCTTAGCCACTTGAGCCACAGGCACTGAGCCTCTTCCTTTGGAAAATCCGTTTTTGGTTCAGTGCTTGTAGCTCAGGGGCTATGGTGCCAGCCACATACACCTGAGCTGGTGGGTTCGAATCCAGCCTGGGCCTGCCAAACAACAATGACAACTACAACCAAAAAATAGTTGGGCGTTGTGGTGGACACCTGTAGTGCCAGCTACTTGGGAGGCTAAGGCAAGAGAATTGCTTATGCCCAAGAGTTTGAGGTTACTGTGAGCTGTGTTACGCCATGGCACTCTACCAAGGGCGACATAGTGAGACTCTGTCTCAAAAAAAAAAAAAAAGAGAGAAAAATCCATTTTTGCTCTTTGTGGTTTTCTCCAAATGAGATTAACACTTTCCTATCAATGTTCCCTTATACAGATCATTCAGATCTTTGCCTCACAGGCTTATTCAAGATTATTCCATTGGACTTTTTTGCATTTAAAGGAAGAATAGGAAAATGAAAGCAGTTTATATATTACTACTTATACACTGTTTCTATGGAGTTTTATGTCATATTAGCTATATAGTATCCCTAGGAATTGGTTATTACTTGAATATTATTAATATAAGAAGAAATATTTTGGGTCCAGTCAAACTAAATATTCTAAGAAGTAATTTACTATTAACATACTACTTGCATATTACTATGGATAATTTAAAATTTACTCTGTATGATGTGGACTGTTCTCCTAGGAGTTAGGTGATATCTCAAGGTAGTTTTGATTTTCATTTCTCTGATGATTAGGGATGATGAGCATATTTTCATGTATTTGTTGGCCACTTATCTGTCTTCATGGGAGAAGTTTTCTGTTCCTGTCTCTTGCCCAGTGATTAATGGGGTTGATTGCTATTTTTGTTGTTGTTGTTGATTTGCTTTAGTTCTTTGTAGATTCTGGTTTTTAGACCTTTGTCAGATCATAGCATGCAAATATCTTCTCCCATTCTGAAGGCTGTCCATTTGCTTTGTTGATTGAGTCCTTAGCTGTGCAGAAGCTTTTTAGCTTGATCAGGTCCCATTTATTTATTTTGGTTGTTGTTGTAATTAGCAATGAAGTCTTTGTAAAACTTTCCCTAGACTAATATTGCTTAGAGTTTTTCCCACACTTTGTTCTGGAGATTTATTGCTTTGTATCTTAGGTTTAAATCTTTCATCCAGCATTAGTTAATTTTTGTAAGTGGTAAGAAGTATAGGTCTAGTTTCAGAGTCCCAAAGCTGCAGATGCTGGTGTGGGCACCAAGAGAAGGGAACACTTATACTCTGTTGGTGGGATTGCAAACTAGTACAGCCTTTTTGGAAAGAAGTATGGAGACTCCTCAAAGAGCTACCAGTAGACCTTCCCTTTGATCCCACAACTCCATTACTAGCTATCTACCCAGAAGAAAAAAAAACATTTTATCTTAAGGATATTTGCATTCAAATGTTTATAGCAACTCAATTCACAATAGCAAAGATGTGGAAACAACCCAAGTGCCCATCAACCCATGAATGGATTAGTAAAGTGTGGCATATGTATACCATGGAATACTATTCAACCATAAAAAAGATACAGACTTTCCATCTTTTGTATTTACTTGGATGGAGTCAAAGAACATTCTCCTTAATAAGTATCTCGAGAATGGAAAAGCAAGCATCCCATGTACTCAATACTAATTTGAAACTAGTAGATGAACAACTATAGGCCCAAATGAGAGAAAAACATAATTAGATTCAAGATGGGGGAAAGGTGTCAGATAGAGCATTAGAGGTATTGGGCATCCATCCTGGGTGAAGGACTCAACTACAACTAGGACTTTACCTTACAAATGCAAATAATGTAACCTAATCATATGTACCCTTATGATAATCCACAATAAAAATAAATAAATAAATTTTACTCTATAGACATTAGAATAAGAAAATATAGGAATTATAGAGAAGGGGTGACTCCTGTGGCTCGAAAGGGTTGCGTGCTGGCCCCCTATGCCAGAGATGGCATGTTGAAACCCAGCCCCGGCCAAAAAAAAAAAAAAAAAAAAAGAATCATAGAGAAGAATTGATTGAGAATAAAAACTCAAATTAAGAATGTAAGCTCTGGTAGAATCAATTTAATTGATGATTTTGCTCATTCATCAGTAAACTTTTGTGGTACTATGAATTCAAAGATAAATAAAACAATAGTTCTCCCTGTTGAAAGGTCATAGTTTAGTAGAGGAAACAAATGTAAATGATCATATC